CCCCCCGCCACTCCCCCGCTCTGAGGAGGGTTCCCTTCTCCCCCTGGCGTGGGTGCCCCCTGCCCTGGGGTGGGTTCCCCTCTCCCCCTGAGGTGGGTGCCCCCTTCGCTTCCCCCCAAGGTGCCGTGGAGCTGTGGGAGCTGGACGAGAACGAAACTCTGATCGTCAACAAGTTCTGTAAATATGAGCACGATGACATCGTCATGGCGGTGGCCGTCCTGGCCAGCAACAACCAGGCTGTCAGCGGCGGCCGGGACTTCAGGTGAGTGTCCCCAGCCCGGCTGCCGTGCGCCAGGGCCGGGGCCGGGTGCTGACTGCTCGCTCTTGTCCACAGCGTCAAGGTCTGGGATCTCCCGCAGCAGTCAGTGCTGCACTCCTACAGAGGTGAGTGCCCCGTCACCCGGCTCCTCCTGGCCCCTCACCGGTTGCTGCAGGCTGGGCCTGCTCCTGCAGCATCACTGGTTCCCCCCCAGTGTGCCAAACCAGTGACCGAACGCTTGCCAGTCTGTGAAGTTTCTGGCACAGCCTTATTTCTTTGTTTGCTGTTTGTTTCTCCCCATGAAAAGAATGCTGTAATGCTTAGTTTGCCTTGCATCTCCAAGCGTATCGTGGAGTATTTCTCCCACAGTGAAATCTTTCTTCCACCTGCATATGATCGTGTGATCTCCTAACCCGTATATGTTTTGAACAGCTCCTCGTTGGAGATGCTGCTCTCTGGAGATGTGGTATTGTGATCCCTGGCCGCAGCAGAGGCCGTACTGGGTTTGATCCTCTCCCCTCCCCAGCCCCATTGTAGCTGAGCTCTTGTCTGGAGAAGCTGCCTCAAGCTTATGTCACAGGGCTCTGCTTGGGTTTGGCAGCTCATCAGTTTGGGAGGAAGCAGTTGGCTGTTGCTGTGTAGAAGTTACCCTGTGTCTGGGCATAAACTGTTCTTTACTGTACTGCTGTGCCTTCAGGGGTCCTTGGGAAGATGTGGGAAAGTTGGATGCAATCTTTTGAGGCTCTTTATCCTTTTGTGCTTTTGGTAGCTCACTCTGGTTCAGTGACATGCGTGGCTTCCTGTCCTGGTAAGGACACTGTGTTCCTGTCCTGTGCTGAGGTAAAGCTCGCTCTCTGTCTAAATTTACCTGATAAAAATGAGATTTGACTTTAGTTATTAAATGCACTTTCTGAGAAACCACCTATCGCCTTACAAGCTGCATACCTGTGTCATTTCAATGTTCCAGTCTGATAAGTTGATTTACCAGCTTACCGAGCTGATTTCTACAGGTTTGTATTAAGGTGGGGGAGCTCCTGTGTCTGTCCTGGGGATGGCTGAGGGAGCTAACTTGCACCTAATGACAGCATCCTTTTAACACTGAGGAGGAGGTGGCGTGGGTTTGAATGTGGGTCAGTAGCGGTTCTGCAGCGAGTCTGAGTTTATGCCTAACCCCTGCCACAAAGAAACTGTAAAACCCTTCTCGTTCACTTTGGATTTACAGGACAGCAGAACTTTACTCTGGGACACCAGATGCCCCAAACCAGCTACTCGAATCGGTACGTTTTTGTATGCAGTCACTGCTTGTGTATGAGTTTTTATTGGAAGAAATAAATTGTTATGCCTGACTTGACTAAGTAAAAATCTAGCAGTGTGACCGTTTGGGCAGAAAAGCCTCTTAAAAACGAACAGTCACAAAAGTACAGGAAGCTTTTAAATATTTGTCTTGGTGCAGTAGCAGTGCTAAATGAGACAGTGTAGAAATATCTTTGGATCGACTCTCTCCACACTCATCCTGATTTATTTACTCACAGTTTGCAGTGCCTGTAATCACCTCCCTACCTCAGTCATGTGGCATCCACAGAAAAGTGACATCTTTGCTTTGGGTAAGAAGTGGTCTCATTATTTGACTTTCACCAGACAAATCAAGGTCTTTCTGTCACGTGACAATTTTGCTAATAACTTCACTCTCCCTTCCTCTCTCAAAGGTGATGAAAATGGAACAGTTGCACTAGTAGACACAAAGAATCCTGATTCTGCCCTCAGCTCCACCGTGCATGCCCGAAGTATCACGGGATTTGCGTTTTCTACACATAGGTACAGTCTGATATACTGCCATTCAACGTGTGACTACGTACCCTTGAAAACCTCGGTTTTAGATGAAACTTAGGAGAGTACTAGTTTTGGTCTTCTTATCAAGAAGATCAGTAGGGAAGAGTCGAGTAAACCAAAGGGCATCTCACTGTTGACAAGATGTGTGAATGTGCCCGAGAACACCGTTGCAGTATTGAGAATCATTGACCCACTCTGGGGATTTTTCTAATTACGGTCACCTCTGCTTGGAGGAAGGTTTCTTCCTTTCTGATGCTAATAGAATATTCTTGCATAGTGTGCTGGCAACCTGCCAAGTGATGATGAAAGCATTTTTGTCAGATCTGGTGACTGTTAATTCACTGGGGTCAGGCTCACGAAGAACTGTGCTGCTCACGAGTTTATCCCCAGGAAGCATTTCTGTATCTGATTGTTCTAACCGTGGTCTCATCTCTTGCCCTCTAGCTCACCCTTGCTGGCTTCAATCAGTGAAGACTGTTCAGTAGCTGTTCTTGACTCAGACCTCTCCGAGGTGTAAGTACTAGACAATGTATTCACCATTGTGGTTATTTGTCTTGTTGCCTTCTCATTAAGCTAATTATTTATCCATATGCTGAGTAGAAGATGAAAAGACTCCTTAAACAGGGAAGCATCATCCTAACAACCAGGCAGTTGGGAGCTGCACGAGCCCATAAACTCGTAGAGACAATGTTTTGTGGCTAATGGAGTGTTTGTGTTTTCCAGGTTCAGAAACCGTTCTCACCGAGACTTTGTCAAAGGCTTATCCTGGTCTCCCTCAGACAATGCCTTGCTCACTACAGTTGGATGGGATCATCAGGTTTTACATCACACTGTCCCCATGCCAACTGGTGAAGCTTCTGGAGTCAACTGTGTAAAAGAATAGTTTTATAAACTCACAGTCCAAATTCCTTCCTGGCATTACTTTGATTCTGCTGAAGTCAAAGGTGTGTGTGAACCAGAGCGGGTAGGGTCTGTTTGCCTTGAAGCTGGTGACTAAGACGGTTCCTGTAGTAATTTTGAATTAGACTTAAGTTAGTTACAAACCAAGCTTTACCCTCTCCTAAGGAGTTGGCTTCACCTGTGATAAGACTTGAGTATTTTACCCAGAAAAAAAAAAAATTGACTTCAGGCACAGAGGAGACTTGGAAAGACAAGGAATTATGTATAATTTAATAAAAAGACTGGATTCCTCCTTCCGTTCTCCAACCCATCCATGCAATTAATTAGAAAGGCTTTATTGGTGGAGGTTAAAAACAAGAGCCCCCCTTGAGTAAAGGTCTGTCTTTGCTCTGCAAACCAGTTCTTGCGGCCGAGGAGGCCTTGGCGTTTCGGGAGGGGATCCAGGGTTGCCCTTGCGGCAGCAGGTGCTGGGGGGGTTGGTCTGTGATGCCTCCGAGCGCGGAGCCCGCGGCGAGCACCACGGACCCCCGGCGTGAGGAGCCTGTGTGCTGCCTGAGGCACCCGGCCGTGGCCCCGTAATTAAACACCTTCTTGACGGGGCACGGCCCGTGCTGCTCGTCGGTGGCTTCGCAGCTGGGCCGGCTCAAAGCAGCGCGGCAAGCCAAGGGAAGCTAGCGGTTGCGGTGCTGTTTGACACCGTGTTTGTCTCCTCTGTGCTGAAGACAACTTACGCAAAGATAAGACCTGTGAACAAAAGTTGATGTAAGGGAAAAACTGGACTTAAGGACTTCAGTTTTCATTTGCTTGCTCCTGTAAACAGACTCTGCTTAGCGGTAAATGAGGCTTCTCACGCACTTGTGATGAGTGACTTTGTGCTGGCGACTGAGGGGACCGAGCACTCCCGTAGTCCCCAAAACAGACTCCACGTAATCCTTAGAGGTGTTTGGGTTTTTTTTTTTGTAGTATACCACATACTTTTCAAACTAAACTATTTCCCTGGAACACATTTAACTGAAAGAAATTGTTGCTCTGCATGCATTGCTACTACTCTAGATATGGCTTGGTCTGGCCTAGTATTTCCTAGACAGAATAAAGCAGGTCCTGACTAATGAAACAAAAAATACTACTGAAACAAATACTACTTCTGTTTCTTTAGCACATTAACAACACTAAAATGTACCCCACTTCCAGTGGGCTTACCCTGTATAAACATCAGTGTTGGATGAGCCAAATTCCAGAGCCCACAGTTGTTAATGCAGGCTAAGCTTTTCCAGGCTCAGGATTTTTTCACATTCTTTTTAAATCTTATTTGCTGGTGTTTTTTTAATTCCTGTGTCATACAGGTGTTGACAGAGCAAAATTCCCAGAGCGGTGTATGACAGAAAACATCAATTATTATAAAAACTGACACGTTTCCTCAAAAATAACCCTTGAACAACCAAAAAGGTTACCTGTTACAGACCTCTGCTGGTGTACTGCAAACTGAAACAGGTCTTGTGCTGTTTGTGAAAGGATTGTCTTGGAAAAAGTAGAAGGCAGTTTTAAAAGAAATCCTAGTTTTCGTTTGTAACTGGGTGTAAGTTGCACCGGGCCGCTTCTGTAGTATTGAAGAGCCAGCTGAGATCATTGACACAGTTAAAGTGAAGTTGTGATTTCAGTCCCTGAAATTAAAACCATTCTTAAGTAAATGTGCACTGTATTGCTGTTTAATGCTAGGGTACTATGATTCTTCAGTGCTAGTGCAAGGCAGGCTGCGAGTCCTGCTTGCTTTCAGGAAGCTCCCAAACCTGGCGTAGAGTTTCTGTTGTGCATAGCTAAAAGGAAAAGGTTCAAACGTTGAGTATTAAACCCCGTTAAGTTCCTCACGTTGCCACCCTGCGAGCAAAGCACGGTCCGTGGCAGAAAGCATAACGGTGGGAGGTGAAGCCTCTCTGGACAACAGGTCGTTATTGATAGATGAATCCTGGTTTACGGTTGCTTAGAGACAGTACAAAAAAAAAAAAAAAAAAATGCTTCAGCATCTGGCAGATCTTCGGGTGGAGCTTTATGTTCTGCCACAGGAGGGCAGCAGCTGCCAGCTTGACAAGGCAGAATCCCCCCCCAAATCTCTGCACGTTTTTTAGAGAGTTTTGTTGGTTTTTTGTTGTTTTGTTTTTTTTTTTAAACCACTTGTTGGCTTGGCCATCATAAGAGAAGCACAGAAGAGCAGCAGCTTCTCCAGGAGTCCCTGGTGGGGCGTTAGCTCCTACCTGGCTGTGCCACGGCCACACAAAACAGCGCTGGCAGCGTGGCGGGGACCCCGGCGATACCACATCAGCGGGGGCTGACGATCCTTTGCGGACAGCTACAGCTGAAGCGAGTTCTCCGGGTTTTGTGGTATGTTCCCACTGTCCCTGGGCTCCACGCTGTTCAGGTTTGGGGACACTTCTGTAAATACACCGTGGCCAAAATAAAAGCTTCAAGGTAACACATTGCACCGTTCCCTCACCAAGAACCCGGTTCTGTAGCCAGAGCCGGATTAAAGAGATGAGAATGCAAATAAGTAATTTTGAGGATTGGAGGGAATAAGCCACTATGAAAACAAGCCTGCCTTTTATGTTGCTGCTTCTATTGCTCATGCTGCATTTTCAGTTTTCAGCGCAACGTTCTAGTTAGGACTTGCAAATAAGTATGCAAGTTTCATTAATCGTGAAAAGCTCAGAACCAAGAACTATTTATAGAAGCAGCACAGGCTGAACTGCAGGAGCTCCTCTGCCAGCCTGCCTGGCCAGGCGGGGTGTTGCGGAGCAGCAGGGCAGTTGGGGCTCGCCGCCCCTTCCCCAGCAGGCTCCTGAGAACGCTGCCGATGCCACAGGGTTTATATCAACAACCAGTAGGTAGAAACTGGACCAAGCCCTAGGTAAAGCAAAATTCACCATTCTGAGGCCGGTTTGAGCCACGTTGCCCCGTCCTTTTCGTCTCACACGCAAAGAGCTCGGTCTTGCAGCAGACAAACCGCTGAAACGATACTAAAGAAGTCAGACCACACGTAATAAAACAATCTGTGCAGACATATTTAATGCAGGAAGGTCGGTGTTCAGTGGCACTCATAAATAAGAGACTTTGTTCAACACTTTACAAATAGAGCTCCCCGTTACACTACGTTAGCGGGTACTTTCGAAGAAGAGGCAGCTGCAGGGGATAATCCAAGTTGTATCAAGACTTGACTGACCAAACTGCATCAGAGAGGGTTGAAGCGAGGATAATTCTATCGTCGGGCTTCAAGAGTGCTTTCAGCACTAAGCCTGGGCTGTAAGGTAGGTTGCTTTGCTGCTTTACCACCCTTTAGTTTCTTCCTCCTTCTATTGCTAAATTTACGTAGCGAAACGGAGCTGGGGAGGAGCAGAAACAGGAATCGGAGCGCAGTTTATCTACGTGCTGCCCTGACAGAGTTACCTGACCGCGAAGGGAGCTCTTCCCCATCCCCACAGCCAAGATGTCCCCGCGCTTTTATTACAGATTTAACTCTCCGTAAGTGCTTTGGCTGCCAACAGCTTGGACAGTGGTTTCTTTGTAACACAAACAGTTCCCAATGGCCCCAGCATAAATGTCTAGTTGTTACCGAAATACTAGAATTTTGCTTAACGCATTCAAAAGAAGCAGGGCCAGCCCAGAGGGTTTAGAATAGTTCCACTGCTTCAGACATTCATGCTAACCAGTTTTACAACTGTGAGCAGAGCCCTACCTGAGTTACAGCTTCGTCCACTGTGCGTTCCCAGAATGGGTGTTCTTCGAATGAATAATTTCATGAAGACTTACATTACCATGCTTCTAATATTTAATATAAACAAGTACACATCTGCCAGAAACAAGACACTCCACGCTATATAACACCATATTGCGACTACGTAGGAATTGCATGTCCGGGTGAAATAGTGAATGTGAAATTTGAAGCAAGTGCCACCATTGGAGTTTCACATTTTGCTCTTAAAAAAAACAAAACAAAACAAAACATAAACTCGTGTTTGGGATACACTCAAATGTAGGAGAATTCTTGGGGAAAACTGCACACACCCCTGTTTCTGGGTAAAGTCAATCTTGGAGGCCAAAGCCTCCTAAAAATCCTTTAACACTGCTTTTGAGAATTAATTTGCAGTTATAACTTATCTGGAGCAAAAGTATTGGAGGGGGAAAAAAAAAATAGGTTGCAATATTATCAGAGAGGCTTTGTTTTGTTTCAAGTTAAACTTCATCTGACTCTAGACATGACCCTGAAGCCATTCAAGCATGACCACAGCTTTACTTCATAGATAAATAAGAATTCTCAAAATGCTCCTCACATGGAGAAACTTCCATGGCTTTTTTTTTTGGGGGGGGAGGCACAGCTACACTCTACATGACACTAGAACACTTAAACACCCAGATAGTCACTCCGTAGTCACTTTTCTCCATTCTTTTTTTTTTTTTTTTTTTTTTTTTTTTTTAAGAAATCAACACCCAGATACTTAAAGCTTATTATTTCAATACTGGCTGGGGTGAGCACGTCTGGAAATCTTCCAAGTCACTGTGAATTACTGGCATAAAAAATGCCATTTGAATTAGCCATTAGACCAATTATGATATTTGCGTTTTCATTTCATTCCCAGCAAAGTAAAGTTCAGAATACTTTGAAACTGCTGCAGTATTTGAAACAGCTGTCAAATTATTTGGTAAAGTTGGAAATAACATAAAACACAGAACGTCAACAACGTGACATCAATATCAAGATAACTCTTCTGAAAATTCCACCACGCAGGAAAAAAATTATCACTGAATTTTGAGTTGAACTGTAGAGTACAATCCTACCTGCACACATACGTGCAATGCAGGGTAAGCTGGAGTGGAACTAATGATATTTTATAGTATTGAAAACAGAAAGTGCTTTCCATAAAAGTAGACTAATGTCTCAAAGTGCTTTTAGTTTGTCAGCAATTAGAAAATATTCTCTACGAGTCTTTACACTTATCTTACAGTGATTTTCAGCAAGTTTAGTTATGAGGACGATGACATATTTCTAATTTCAGGAAGTTGGCTATTCAAAACTTCGGCCAGCTATTGTGAGGCTGGATTGCTCGCTCTGTGGTACAAAAATACCCTCTCAGAGGCTACTCGTGTCTCCCACCACAGCCCAGAGCCATCACGAGCTCCCTGGGAGGTGCTGGCGGGGAGCAGGGATGGGTGCACCCCCAGCACCCTGACGGGTGCTTACGCCAACAGCGGGAGCCGCCTCCCTCAGGGACGTCCCTCGGACATTCCACACACCAGGAGCATCGAATACTCCACAATCACACCGAAATTTAGCTTCTGAGATCCCCAAATCAGACAAAATAAAGCCAAGTCTAACCACAGTTTCAGGGCTCCGTGGCTTAGCTTTAGGGGCGGGGGTTACGTGGGTATGAAGAGGCGAGAGACCCCCTCGGGGACAGCACCACCAGCACAGCACCGCGGCGAGTCGCTGACACCCACCACCTGAGAAAGGAAAAGGATTGCTCCACGGCCGAAGGCTCCCAAGCGCCTCACAGCCTTCTTCCACGAGAATTATTGCCAGCAGGAACATTGACAGTGACCAAAAGGCACAGAGAAGCCAGGCCCGTGCTCCCGAGGCTGCTGCTCCCTGGAGAAGGGGGCTCAGACCTCGGTGGCCGAGCTGCCCCCGGCCCCGCAGGACAGGCACCGAAAGCCTGGAGCGGGTTTTAAGGCACCGGCATAATTGACTTGTTGGAGGCTGTTGAAGGAGGTGGGGACAGAAGAGGTGAGGCTCTAGGCAGCCTAAACTCTATTTCCATCCCGTTGCCCTCACATTCTTATTTTCCAGTTCCCATACATTTACATACACACTGTCTTGCTTCCATCACGCACACCTCCCAGTTGGTTTCTCCCTACTCCCAAGCATGTTGGATTTAAAACGATTAAAAAAAAAAAAAACAAAAACAAAAACAAAACCCACAACTGAAAACAACCTCTCCAGTGGCAATGCTCTTTAAAGAGAACTAAGGATGCTTTTTGGCTTTCTTAGAAGACCTATCGGGCTGCAATTTTGAAAATAACACAGCGGGGGAAATCAGAGAAGGAAAACAGCATTTGCTCATGTAACAAGACAGCAGCCTGTCCTCTGCAGTAACTACTCTCCATGACAGTCTTTCGAGAAGAGCCCAAGTCCCAGGTCCGCTCCCCACCTTCCCCATCAGTAGTTCCAAGCGGTGGGTTTGCCGCCTGGGTCGGGATGGTCCCTGGTGCCCACGGGGGAGGCGGTTGCCGACCCCGGCGCCTCCTCAGCCCTCCCCAGGCGGCCGAGGGCGGCGGAGCAGCCTATCGATGGCCGCTCTGGTAGGCGTAGGAGATGGGCTGCCGCGCCCCGGGCCGGACCGTGAAGGTGTTGGTGGGTCCGCCGTACTGCGAGCTGCCGTGGGCAGGTCTGGAGGGGAAAGAAGGGAAAGTCACCGAAAGCCAAGGAAACCCTTTGGTTTTATTCAATATTGATTTTTTTTCTTTTCTCTCTCTAATGGAGCAGGGCAACTTTTGTCACCTCACGTGGGGAGGAGCAGGCAACGGGTGGAACCAGGGAGGCCCCGGCTGGGAACCAGCACAGACAGGGGCAGGGACTCCTCTCGGGCCTCTGCGCTGCTCTGGGGCCAGCCAGGGCCCAGCCCTCCTCTTTCTCAAATCAACGGGAACAGGGGACAGAGGAGGGGTCCGCTCGGGGGGCACAT